CAATGGCTGTACACATATTTACCATGTAGAAGTCACGTTTCAGTAAAAAGTCAAAATCAGTACTTACCATGCACTTGGAGCAGGTAATACTTACTTGGGTCAAAGGGATGAGGCTGCAGACAGTTGACCACATGGCGGTCACCTTCCAGTAACATGACCAGCTTGGACGTGTAGCGATCCCAGATAAAAATGTGGCCACAGTCAGATCCACTCATTACAAATTGGCTTCCCCAGAAGTTAGCTTCTTTTATCTGGAAACACAAAACCCACTCATCACAAACTGGCTCCCCCAGAAGTTAGCTTCTTTTATCTGGAATCACAAAACCCACTCATCACAAACTGGCTCCCCCAGAAGTTAGCTTCTTTTATCTGTAAACACAAAACCAACTCATCACAAACTAGCTCCCCCAGAAATTAGTAACATAAAACCCACTGACATTGTCTCTTAATTTCCAGTCTAAAACACTGTCCATTTGAAGAGGTTAACTGTTTCCCATTACACAGTGTATCAGTTGAAGGTACTTTAAAGTTAGGTACAGGAATTACAGCATAGAAATTGCCTGGAAAGAAACTGAAGAGAATGCTAATGTGTGCCCAATGTTTTTAAACAATTAATTGATAATGAATATGTTCAGGCTTTACTGTTGCCTCTGAATTCATCACAGTTTAATGAGCCTTGTCTTCATGCAGCGGTTTGTGTTGCCTCTGACCTTATATCACAGCATTTGGAGCCTTACCATCGTGCGGGCATTTCTGTGTCCCCGAAACTTTGTAGTAAAGGATGGCTGGTGTATATTTCTTAGTTCCATCTCCTCCTTCTCCCGTTCCTCCTGACGCTTGCGGTACAGCTCCTGGAGTCTGATAGCTGTGATGTGACGCTCAAGTGTATCCCTGTTCTCTCTGAAACACAGGTGAAAAGATTACAGGTAAAAGAATAACACAGATATAAGAATTCTTATTCTAGCAATGGAAAGGTTTCTTTATGAAATCATCAAAAACCTCTGTTACTTTATAAACTGAAATGTCATCCTAATTTCTGACTATGAATATATACATACTGACTGCAATGTCATCCTAATTTCTGACTATGAGTATATACATACTGACTGCAATGTCATCCTAATTTCTGACTATGAATATATACTACTGACTGCAATGTCATCCTAATTTCTGGCTATGAGTATATACATACTGACTGCAATGTCATCCTAATTTCTGACTATGAGTATATACTACTGACTGCAATGCTGTAACAAACAGATCAACTTGACTGTACATCACAGATAACTACCTCCTCCTGCGAGGTGTAGTTGTGTCATCATCACTGCTCTCCTCATCCGTCGACAACTGGAAGTTCCCTGTGGGAGGTCCACTGTGGCCTATCCGTCGCCGACGGTTGGCTGGTGCGGCCTCTCTGGGGGTGCTCGGAGTGGCAGCTTCTGCTTGTCTCTCGGTTTCTGTAAATTAAGTTCTGATGAGTTATCAATCTTGTAAAAATCAGTTTGACATAAGAAAAGTAAACCAGCTCTATTTAAGCTACAGTTTAACTATGTATACACAATATACCAAATTTCATTTTATCACAGATTACAACTGAATTCTTGACTTTCTGACATTTCTTCCCTCCAGTACAAACTGTGGACCATTTCCATGCTGACCCCTGAAGGACTTACCCAGATCAGTGGAGGCCCCTCCTTTCGCTGCCTGCGCCACACTACCCTCTTCCACTTCCTGTGACACAGATTCCTGTGAGGTTGACTGCTGTGACCTTTTCATCTCAGGTGTTTGATCCTCTGATAAAGAGGATTCCTGTTTAGTTGTGACTTCCTGAGGTTGTCCTGTCTCGTTTGGACTGGAGGATATCTTCCCTTTTGACGACACAGGTGACTTCGAAACTCTTTTTACCTCCTTCGAATTCAAATCTTTTTTCCCCTTCTTTTTCTTATCTTTATCCCCTAAATTCCCCAACTCCTTTTCGTCTGTCCCCACCCTTAGGAAAGACGGCCCTACCTTGGAGGACACATCCCATCCCTGGCTGTCACTCGCCTCCTCCTCACAAACTTCATTGTATAAATGACTAGGTTCTGTATTAATTTGACCTACACTAGATGTAAAGGAGGGCATAGACTCTGGCTGGGCACTAGAGCTGGCCCCTTTGGACGAGGGATCAGTGATGTAGTCATCTGTTTCCATCAGATGTTCCTGTCCACCTTCCTGTCCTGTTTTACCCTCACTTTCACTTGTACTGTTCAAGTCCCCACTAACACAAACCGGACTGTCTAAAACTAGGCTAGAATCACTGTGTCCCTGGGGACTAGCCGAATCACTGTGTCCCTTGGGACTAGCTGAATCACAGTGTCCCTGGGGACTAACCAATTCACTGTGTTCCAGGGGATTAGCCGAAATACTGTGTCCATGGGGACTAGCTGAACCACTGTGCCCCTGGGGACTGGCCGAATCACTGTGTCCCTGGAAACTGGCCAAATCACTGTGTCCTTTGGGGCTGGCTGAATCACTGGGACCATTGGGACTGCCTGAATCCCAAGGACCCTGAAGTTTTGTCAAATCATTCTGACCAAAGGGACTCACAGAACTGGAAGGACCTGGGGGACTAGATATTTCACTACCACCAAGGGGACTCACACAATTGTTCTGCCCTTGGGCACTGGCTGAATCACTCTGTTCCTGAGAACTGTCTAAGTCCCCAGTATTAGCCATCTGGGATAACAGACGCGGGTGACCATCGTCTCGTTCAAACTGACTGGTGTCTCTAACAAGAGGAGCCAAGGAAGCATTTTCAGCACTTCTCTGTAGCAAACCAGCTTCCAAGTTTTCAAATTTTGCAAAGCCCAATCTGATGGTACTACTGGTGGTTCCCTCGGATGAGTAATGGAGGCTGATGACAGGCTCCATCTGTCCAGGGGACAGTGGTGCATCCTGGTTACCATGGTCGCCAACAATAACTGCAGGCTGTTGGCCTAACGATGACCCTGGTCTCTCCGAGGTAGACTGAACTGAGTCCTCAGCCAACCCCTGACTGGATGCACTAGCTGTGGGTCCTTCTACAACACCAGATATTGCACTTGTTGACCCTTCACATTTCTGGTTGTTACTTGTAACATTGTCTTTCACTTGTTTATCAGTACATTGAGGTGTTACTCTGGGGACTCCCTTAGAACCTTCCACTGATGATTCTGTCTGTTGAGACAGTCCCTCACTATCTGATAGCCGAGACACAGTCTTCGTGATACCAGGCCTCCCATGATCATCCACACCCTCCATTATACCTCCACAGCTTTCTGAAAGAGTATCATTTTAATCAAAATGTGAATGTGAAATTGAGAAAATTTGATCAGAAGATTCAGTGCAGTCTTTCAAATGACAGCTAGCCAGAGAAATTCAACTTATCAAATTCATGTCACGACAATTCGAAAAAATATCTTTTGTTACACAGTAAGTTGTGACATCAGAACTAATCATGTCAAGTTTAGTCCTGTGTACCACTTGTAGTTTGAAGCTAAGATTTCCATACCTGATGCACCACCAATAACTGCCCTTTCTGTCCCCTCCCCAGAGGAGGTTGGGTCTTCAGTAACTCCACCCTGGGGCAAGTCTTCCACTCCTCCACCTCCCTCCCGAGTAGCCTGTTCTGATTCCTCAGTGATCACCTCTGATCCTTCAGTTCTAACCACCGACTCTTGAACCTGCTCTTCTGAACCTTCACCTTCACCTTCTGTCCTTCGCAAGTTTCCGTCCAACCAGCGAGTGAGCATGTCTGACATACGCTGCATGATGGAGGTGTGTGGACTTCTCCTCTGCTCAGCTGAACAAACACAATACATTATGTTGAACATCTCACCAGCAATGTGAAAATTACTAAAAACTTAAACATGAAAAGCATTTACATATACAATGTATCACAATAATGATATCACATATTTTACACATGCAAGTTAAACAGTTTCATTATTTTCAGAAGTATATGTACACCTATATCTTGTTCTCTGGTTTCTATTTACCTCTGACTTGTTTTTGAATAGTACATCATGACCTACCTGTCCCCTGGGCCTGCCGCTCACTCTCTGGACGTGCGTTAGGGCCTGTGTCTGACCAATCACCACGCAGACGTAAACGTTTTATAGGTGGGTGTCCTACAGCAGACTCCTCTAATGCCTCTGTAGCTGATGAGGTGCTAGCTCCACCCATGTCTCCAGCTATAACTCCACCCAATGTCCCACACACAGCTCCAGGCAGGGCACCACCCATAGCTCTGGCAGCATCTACCCCCCTACTCCCTCCTTCTAATCCTGCTCCTCTGCTTAATTCTAACCCTGACCCAACCTCCATTCCTGCCTCACTCCCTAATTGTGCCCCTCCTTCTGCACCTAATCCTGCCTCACTCCCCAATTGTACCACTCTTTCTGTGCCTAATCCTTTCTCACTCCCCAATTGTGCCCCTCCCTCTACTCCTGTCCCCTCCTCTGGTCGGGTGTCTCCTTTCGATTCTCTTTGCTCTGTCAATCTATCTGGTTCTCTAACAACCGGGTCTTTCCCTGTAACCTCTTTCAACTCTTCCCCTGTCACCCCTTTATCCTCTGTACCTTTCCCTCCTTTTACAGTCACCAGCCCTTCTGTCACACCTCTTTCTCTTTCCTTCAACATGTCTTTCCCACCATCATCTGCCCTGCCCTTAACCCCTCCCTTTGGCCCGCCCTTTGGTCCACCCTTGCCCTTGCTGCCTGTCCCTTCCTTTACTACTCCCTCTTCCACACTCTTCTTTCCTGTATTTCCCTGGTCAGTGCCCACACCCTTCTTTCCTCTCTCCCCCTGGTCAGTGCCTACACCCTTCTTTCCTCTCTCCCCCTGGTCAGAGCCCCCACCCTTCATTTCTGTTTCACCCCTGTCAGAGCCCCCACCCTTCGTTCCTGTTTCTCCCCTGTCAGAGCCCCCACCCTTCGTTCCTGTTTCTCCCCTGTCAGAGCCCCCACCCTTCGTTCCTGTTTCTCCCCTGTCAGAGCCCCCACCCTTCGTTCCTGTTTCTCCCCTGTCAGAGCCCCCACCCTTCGTTCCTGTTTCTCCCCTGTCAGAGCCCCCACCCTTCGTTCCTGTTTCTCCCCTGTCAGAGCCCCCACCCTTCGTTCCTGTTTCGCCCCTGTCAGAGCCCCCACCCTTCGTTCCTGTTTCGCCCCTGTCAGAGCCCCCACCCTTCGTTCCTGTTTCTCCCCTGTCAGAGCCCCCACCCTTCGTTCCTGTTTCTCCCCTGTCAGAGCCCCCACCCTTCGTTCCTGTTTCTCCCCTGTCAGAGCCCCCACCCTTCGTTCCTGTTTCTCCCCTGTCAGAGCCCCCACCCTTCGTTCCTGTTTCTCCCCTGTCAGAGCCCCCACCCTTCGTTCCTGTTTCTCCCCTGTCAGAGCCCCCACCCTTCGTTCCTGTTTCTCCCCTGTCAGAGCCCCCACCCTTCGTTCCTGTTTCTCCCCTGTCAGAGCCCCCACCCTTCGTTCCTGTTTCGCCCCTGTCAGAGCCCCCACCCTTCGTTCCTGTTTCTCCCCTGTCAGAGCCCCCACCCTTCGTGCCTGTTTCTCCCCTGTCAGAGTCCCCTTGCTTCTTTCCTTTATCATCCTGGTCTGTGCCTCCACCACTCACTGTATGGGAGGTTGTGGAAGAACTGGATTGTTTATAGTCCGACACCTCTGATGACTGTTTTACTGGCTTGAAGCTGTCATCTGTCTGTAAAATGTCATAATTTATGCTCACATCTGGGAACTGGACATATAAATAGTTTTAGTATTTTGTGTATGGGGGAGACACTTATCTTGTTCCAACATTTAACCCCCATATATTGAAGAAATAATAATGAATGTGCATGTATTATAGTGGCATTATATAGCAAGGCAAAGTATTGCAAGGCAATCCATAGTTCCCCATCGGTAATGATTTTTATATTTAACAAACAGTACACTTATGTCAGGATGTATCTACTGTCGGAAAATATCCTGATACATACTTCTTGCACTCCATCATCCCAAATGTCCTTGTACACCAAATCTACTTACACCAGGTGAAAAAATATAGGAGATATGCCCCAGACAAACATTTTCAAAAGTTAAAGTCAAAGGTCAAGTCATAGGTCACAGTGACATAATTCTTGCACTCTGCACTCCACCATCCTGAGATGTCTCTGTACACCAAAACTGGTTACTCCAGGTGAAAAAGTACAAAAGATATGCCCCTGACAAAAAAAATCAAAAGTTTAATTCAAAGGTCAAGTCATTGGTCATAGTGACCTTCTTTTTGCATTTTGCACTCCTCCATCACACAATGTCCTTGCACACCAAATCTGGTTACACCAGGTGAAATAGTATAGAGGATATGTCCCGGACAAATCCTAGACAGAAGGACAGACGGACGGAGTGCAAACCTATATGGGAATAATTATACACAAACCCATTAAAATTGATTATTCTATACTTTCTTTACTTTTCTTCCATATGCTGATGTCAAGGGTTAGAGTTTATAAACAGAAAATCTTGATGTCGAGGGTTAGAATACACTATATGACCTAACACATTCTGATGTTTAGGGTTAGAGTACATAACTGACATGCTACATTTTGTGTCGGGTCGGAGTTCACATACTGACTTACCACATTCTGATATTGAGGGTTGGAGTTCACAAAGAGACTTACCACATTTTTGTGTCGGGGGTTAGAAGACTTAGATTCGGGTGGAAGGCTTTTCCCTAGACACTTGTACTTGTTTTCCTGTAACAGCAAAAAATAATTTATAGGTTAGTATTGGACATCAAAATGTAGCTCCAATCAAACTGATCTGATAAAGGGGGTGATCTATTTAAAAAGAAGCAAACAGATTTAGCATGGATATACCCCTGACGTAAGCCAATAGTAATAAGAGGGAACCACTTTAAATGAACTTACCTTATGACCGAACAGGTAGATGTACTCAGAGGAGTAACTAACAAGAACATCTTCCCCATCGGGGCTGTAGTTAAGGGAGGTTATTCTGTAAGACCGTCCAGATAGCGAAGGCGCAGTGAAGCGACACATCATCCCTGTAATGCTACGTCCAGCATAGTTACCTAGCAACAAATAACATATCCCCGTAATGCTACGTCCAGCATAGTTACCTAGCACCAAATAACACATCCCTGTAATGCTACGTCCAGCATAGTTACCTAGCAACAAATAACATATCCCTTTAATGCTACGTCCAGCATAGTTACCTAGCAACAAATAACATATCCCTGTAATGCTATGTCCAAAATAGTTACCTAGCAACAATTAATATATACCTGTAATGCTATAGTAAGCATAGTTACCAAGCAACAAATCACATATACCTGTAATAATATGTCCAGCATAGTTACCTAGCAAGAATTAATATATACCTGTTATGCTATAGCAAGCATAGTTACCTAGCAACAAATAACATATACCTGTAATGCTATAGTAAGCATAGTTACTTAGCAACAGATAGCATATACCTGTAATGATATGTCCAGCATAGTTACCTAGCAACAATTAAATATACCTGTAATGCTATAGTAAGCATAGTTACTTAGCAACAGATAGCCTATCCATCTAAAGCTATGTCCAACCTAGGTTCAGTGGTGAACCACAAAGGACTGCTAACATCAGGTGATCATTTACTACATGCAACTATAAAGGCAGGTACCAGTGTGTTACTTGTAGTGTGTGTTACCAGTGTGTTACTTGTAGTGTGTGTTACCAGTGTGTTACGTGTAGTGTATGGTACCAGTATATTACTTGTAGTGTGTGTTACCAGTGTGTTACTTGTAGTGTGTGTTACCAGTGTGTTACGTGTAGTGTGTGGTACCAGTATATTACTTGTAGTGTGTGGTACCACACACTACAAGTAATACACTGGTCCCACATACTACAAGTAATACACTGGTAACACACTACAATTAATATACTGGTACCACACACTACAAGGAATACACTTGTACCCCACACTACAAGTAATACACTGGCACCACACACTACAAGTAACACACTGGAAACACACACTACAAGTAACACACTAGCAACACACACTACAAGTAATACAATAGTCCAACACACTACAAGTAATACACTTGTACCACACACTACAAGTAATGCACTGTTACCACACACTACAAGTAATATACTGGTACCACACACTACATGTAATACACTGGTAACACACTACAATTAATATACTGGTACCACACACTAGACGTAACACACTGGTAACACACACCACAAGTAACACACTGGTAACACACACTACCAGTGTGTTACTTGTAGTGCGTGTTACCAGTGTGTTACTTGGAGTGTGTGGTACCAGTGTATTCCTTTTAGTGTGTGGTACCAGTGTATCACTTGTAGTGTGTGGTACCAGAGTATTGCGTGTAGTGTGTGGTACCAGTGTGTTCCTTGTAGTGTGTGGTACCAGTGGATTACTTGTAGTGTGTGGTACCGGTGTGTTACTTGTAGTGTGTGGTACCAGGGTATTACTTGTAGTGTGTGGTACGAGTGTATTACTTGTAGTGTGTGCTACCAGTGTATTACTTGTAGTATGTGGTACCAGTGTATTACTTATAGTGTGTGGTACCGTGTGGTACCAGTGTATTACTTGTAGTGTGTGGTACTGTGTGGTACCAATGTATTACTTGTAGTGTGTGGTACCAGTATATTACTTGTAGTGTGTTACCAGTGTATTACTTGTAGTGTGTGGTACCAGTGCATTACTTGTAGTGTGTGGTACCAGTGTATTACTTGTAGTGTGTGGTAGTGTGTGGTACCAATGTATTACTTGTAGTGGGTGGTACCAGTATATTACTTGTAGTGTGTTACCATTGTATTACTTGTAGTGTGTGGTACCAGTATATTACTTGTAGTGTGTTACCATTGTATTACTTGTAGTGAGTGGTACCAGTGCATTACTTGTAGTGTGTGGTACAAGAGTATTACGTGTAGTGTGTGGTACCGTATGGTACCAATGTATTACTTGTAGTGTGTGGTACCAGTGCATTACTTGTAGTGTGTGGTACAAGAGTATTACGTGTAGTGTGTGGTACCGTATGGTACCAATGTATTACTTGTAGTGTGTAGTACCAGTGTATTACTTGTAGTGTGTGGAACCCGTGTATTACTTGTAGTGTGTGGTACCAGTATATTACTTGTAGTGTGTGTTACCAGTGGGTTACTTGTAGTGTGTGGTACCAGTGGATTACTTGTAGTGTGTGGTACCAGTGTGTTATTTGTAGTGTGTGGTACCAGTGTATTACTCGTAGTGTGTGGTACCAGTGTATTACTTGTAGTGTGTGGTACCAGTGTATATGCATAACATAAACCTTTTCATTCCTCTGGTGAGTTTTGTCGTCCTGATTCACCCTTACCTGTAGCTCGTGTCCCCAACATCCGTCTATCAAAGATGCGCACAGAGCTATCAGAACATGCAATGGCCAGGTGATACGGAATGAAGGGGTTCACCGCAAGGGAGGTAACTGCTCTGTGACAGTTTATCAGCACATCCTTTAGAAGTAAAAACAAGTAATCAATAGATATGTTTTACATTGAGGATTACAGTCATCTAAAATAACAACAGCAAAACATTCCAGTTTGATATCATCAAATAAGTCTCATAAGTTTAAGCCTCGTTGATTCAGTTATCCCAACTGCCAACATCTTTAAGGATAGGTTTCCTCTTTTCTATTTAAATAGTATCAGTAGATGTAATTAGTAAAACAGCTAAGAGAAAGGCAGCTGAATAACAGTCTCAGTAGATTAAATCATTTAGATTGGAACAGAAGTGGCTGCTTAATAAGGTTCGTCTCGTTTACGAGTCTTGTGTTTGTCAAGTTCTTACCTCTTTACAATCTTCCTTTGTGCAGCTAGACTTGGCGCGGAGGTCAAACCAGCGAACCGTGCCATCCTCCCCACAAGACAGGAACAAGGATGACTCATTGGGCACTACCAATACCTGTTAATCATGAGTAGACAATAACACAAGTGTAGAGAAAAAACATCTCTGTCATTTGCTTTTAAGGAAATAATAATATTCCATCCACAATTATCATTATCTTATTTTCATCTTGAAAAGTCAATAAATATATTTAATAAATCATCAAACTTTAAATAGTGAACGTTCACATCAGACGGGACTACCTTTTTACAGGAGACGGACAGCCTGTTCACAGTAGATGGACCACCTGTTTACAGGGGAAGGTCTATCTGTCGCAGGAGACAAACTACCTGTTCACAGTAGACGGACTTATAAAATCTTTAACCTGTAACTGAGCGAGATCGGGTTATCTCGGTATTGGGTTAAGATTCTTTAACAAAATCCCAACAGAGGTGTAAGCCGAGGTTGGGATGTTCCAGAATCTTAGCCCAAGACTGAGATAACCCGATCTCGCTCAGTTACAGGTAAAAGATTTTATTATTCCGTCTCCTGTGAACAAGAATATCCTCCATAGATATGTATTGTATATATAACTTGTCATGCAATTGTTAAACTACAAATCAATCTTGGGCTTCAATGACACTTACATATCAAATGTTTGATGTCTTGTGCAAAGCAACATTCTGCTTTGGAAAAACCTAACTTTAAATAATCAATCAGTTGTTTTCCATGAAAAAAATAATGAAAAATCAATGTAAAAAGGTTGTGACAATTCACGACCAGTTCGAACATTTAACACAATTGTAAGTTTATTCAATATCAGTGATCAAAAGTCAAGGTCATGGTACTTAAGACCTTTCAGTTTTAATCAGATTTTAACTGGAAGTGACAGATACGGGTCTTGTTAAGTCTTAAAATGTACTTTTTTTCTATAAATAGAATAGGTGTGATAATGTAGTGAAATTTGCCAGTAGATGGTAAATGATATTTTTTCAGAATTTGAAATAAAAAAATAAGGTTCTTCTAAGTCAGTAAGTGTCACTCATCTATTCTACGACATTGAAATATCTGTTTTACCTCATATGTAGTGCCAAAGTGACAGTCAAAGAGATTATTGGTGTAGGAATCTGCCCGGTCAACCTCCGTGTGGTAGATCTTCCCGTCACCAGAACAGCTCACAATCTGTACAGAACTACATGTTAAACTCATTTCTACATGATAATCTTACAACAAGCGTAAAAATATTACAATATCTAGATACCCCCCTCTTATATCATATTTTATCTTTTCACCAGATATTTCATATCATGATCATATGAAAACTATGACCTGAGCAGGGGTTGTTGTCATCAGATACGACTCAGCAACAAGACCAGATACGACCAGTTCTGTAACTCTGAACCGCTGAAAACAACCTGCTAAGCCACAGTGTGCCGAATAAGTCAAGTCTCCTGTCAAAAATCATAGAAACATTTGGCACAATGCCACTCTGATACTGTGCCAGTAGGTGAGGGTTATTCATACCAAACTGATGAATCATATTCCGAAAACTACCCATATTTTTAAAAAAAAATATAAATGTGGTCCTTTGGTTTCTATACAGCCATCTACAGTAGACCAGTAGTTTGGATATGATTCAGTTAAATAGTAAATTGTGAAGGATAAAACCCATGAAAGCTTCATATACAGTAAAATACTGATTCATTATAACAAAAGCAAACCTGTTTGTCTCCAGAAGCCGGCAGGAACTTAGCACTGAAAATGTTGGCTCGATGACCGGAGCGGATGGACAGAACTTTCTGTAAACAAGAAAACATTACATCCACAGTACTAACATAATGTAAACAAGAGGCCCATAGGGCCTGTATCGCTCACCTGGATATCTAAGCAATCATGGCAAAATATTCTCCAAATGAGATCCAAGGGAATATGCCAGACCCCAAGGCCAATCCTTGTAGCATATGTATGGTTATAGGGTGGGGATCTCAACTAATTCCAAGCTGTGACTCAGAAACTAGGTCCCTACGTTTGTGGCCAGACCCCAGGAACAATTCTAATATCATGACTGCATTTGTCTTTTTTTGCCCAACATTTGTATATATAGTTTCGGGGTGGGAATCTCAACCATTTCAAAGTTATGACTCAGGGGTTAAGTCTGCAAGGGTGGGGCAAACCCTGGGGTCAATTCTAATATCATGACTGCATTCGTCTCTTTATGCCCAACAATTGTATATATAGTTTTTGGGTGGGGATCTTAACCATTTCGTAGTTATGACCCAGGGGTTAAGTCTCCAAGGGTGGGGCAGTCCTCAAGGCCATTATGGAAGCATATGTGCATTCATCTCTTTATACTCAGCAATTGTCTATATGGTTATAGGGTGGGGATCTCAACTGTTTCCAAGCTGTGACTAAGAAACTAGGTCCCTAGGGGTTCGGTCAGACCCCAGGGTCTATTCTAACATCATGACTGCATTCGTCTCTTTATGCCAAGCTTTTGTATATATAGTTTTGGGGTGGGGATCTCAACAGTTTTAAAGTTATGGCCGAAGGACTATGTTTCCAAGGGTGGGGCCAGACCCTAGGGCCATCCTGGAAGCAAATGTGCATTCTTCTCTTTATACTCAGCAATTGTTTATGTGGTTATATGGTGGGGATCTCAACCATTTCCAAGCAATAAACTTTTTCTGGCCCCACCCCTTAGCCTGGGGGGTCAGCCCCACCATTTGTACAATTTTGAATCCCTGCCTCCCATGAATGCTTCCGACCAAATATGATCGATATCCATGGCATAATTCTACAGAAGAAGTTGTTTATAGCAATATAGCCAAATTGTCCCCTTTTGGCCCCGGCCTCAGCTCCCTGGGGGGTCAGCCCCTACTATTTGTACAATTTTGAATCCCCACCACCTAGGGATGCTTCCAGTCTAATATGGTTGATATCCATCACTTCGTTCCAGAGAAGAAGTTGCTTAAAGCAATATAACCAAATAACCTTTTTTGGCCCCACCCTCAGCCCCCTGGGGGGTCAGCCCCGACTTTTGTACAATTTTGAATCCCTGCATCCCATGAATGCTTTTGATTGAATATGATTGATATCCAGTGCATAGTTCTACAGAAGAAGTCGTTTGTAGAAATATAGCCAAATTACCCCTTTTTGGCCGCTCCCCTCAGCCCCCAGGAATCTCCACCACCTAGGGATGCTTCCATTCAAATTTAGTTAAATTCCAATCAGTGGTTAAGAAGAAGAAGTCGTTTAAAGAAATTGTTGATGGACAGAAGACAGACGACGGACAGCGACGGATGGACAGACGACGGACGCCACGGTATGGCATAAGCTCTCCTTGGCCCTTGGACCCGGTGAGCTAATAAATTTGTATTACTTCACCGACTATAACAACAGAATGGACACAATAAAATGATGTGTATTTAAAACATTACTCGTTAGTAGATTAATCTGAGTACCTTATTGTGTGTAACACGAGTTTACAAACATTACTCGTTAGTAGATTAGTCCGAGTACCTTATTGTGTGTAACACGAGTTTACCAACATTACTCGTTAGTAGATTAGTCTGAGTACCTTATTGTGTGTAACACAAGTTTACCAACATTACTCGTTAGTAGATTAGTCTGAGTATCTTATTGTGTGTAACACGAGTTTACAAACATTACTCGTTAGTAGATTAGTCCGAGTACCTTCTTGTGTGTAACACGAGTTTACAAACATTAAGATACTCGGACTAATCTACTAACATTACTTGTTAGTAGATTAGTCCGAGTATCTTATTGTATGTAACACGAGTTTACAAACATTACTTGTTAGTAGATTAGTCCGAGTAGCTTATTGTGTGTAACACGAGTTTACAAAAATTACTCGTTAGTAGATTAGTCCGAGCACCTTATTGTGTGTAACACGATTTTACCAACATTACTCGTTAGTAGATTGGTCCGAGTGCCTTATTGTGTGTAACACGAGTTTACAAACATTACTTGTTAGTAGATTAGTCCGAGTATCTTATTGTGTGTAACACGAGTTTACAAACATTACTCGTTAGCAGATTAGTCCGAGTGCCTTATTGTGTGTAACACGAGTTTACAAACATTAAGATACTCGGACTAATCTACTAACAAGTAATGTTAGTAGATTAGTCCGAGTATCTTATTGTGTGTAACACGAGTTTACAAACATTACTTGTTAGTAGATTAGTCTGAGTACCTTATTGTGTGTAACACGAGTTTACGAACATTACTCGTTAGTAGATTAGTCCGAGTACCTTATTGTGTTTAACTCGAGTTTACAATTATTTTGGATATTTCATTCATATTTGTTTATTTATCTTAATATTTTGAGAGTATTTATAAATTTTGAAAAGAAAAAAGTTGTAATCTAATGCTTAATAACATGCTATTTCTTCTGGCCTAAAATTAATGATTTATCAAACATTTCTTACACTACCAACGAGCCATTGTTTTATGTTGAATTGTAATTTTACCTTTTTGTTGAATGGATCTGTGATAACAAGATGTTGGTCGTCAGATCCCGACAGAATTGTATGGCCAGTATTATTCCAGCAAATTGTGTTCACCTGGGGAAAAACCCAGTAAACAAACAACTCTGTACAAGGCTTTCTCCTTCCTTCATATTTTCGGCCAGAATTGGCCCTCATTCAAATGAGATTTAGAATTTAAGCACAACAAGATTTCACTATCTGAAATTTCTGATAAATGCTTCATAACAAGAAGTGAAACTACACATCTTTGTATAATGCATGCATACAAAAAAGTAATTGTACTTGAAGATGTAGATATATGATGTAAATCTCCCCCAACTTCTTACCCCTTCAAATAGTTAAAAAGACAAAGCTAATTGTTGCTTCACCAAAGCCATCATGCTAACAGTGACACATCACAAGGTCATAGTGAACAGCTAACAGTGACACATCACAAGGTCATAGTGAACAGCTAACAGTGACACATCACAAGGTCATAGTGAACAGCTAACAGTGACACATCACAAGGTCATAGTGAACAGCTAACAGTGACACATCACAAGGTCATAGTGAACAGCTAACAGTGACACATCACAAGGTCATAGTGAACAGCTAACAGTGACACATCACAAGGTCATAGTGAACAGCTAACAGTGACACATCACAAGGTCATAGTGAACAGCTAACAGTGACACATCACAAGGTCATAGTGAACAGCTAACAGTGACACATCACAAGGTCATAGTGAACAGCTAACAGTGACACATCACAAGGTCATAGTGAACAGCTAACAGTGACACATCACAAGGTCATAGTGAACAGCTAACAGTGACACATCACAAGGTCATAGTGAACAGCTAACAGTGACACATCACAAGGTCATAGTGAACAGCTAACAGTGACACATCACAAGGTCATAGTGAACAGCTAACAGTGACACATCACAAGGTCATAGTGAACAGCTAACAGTGACACATCACAAGGTCATAGTGAACAGCTAACAGTGACACATCACAAGGTCATAGTGAACAGCTAACAGTGACACATCACAAGGTCATAGTGAACAGCTAACAGTGACACATCACAAGGTCATAGTGAACAGCTAACAGTGACACATCACAAGGTCATAGTGAACAGCTAACAGTGACACATCACAAGGTCATAGTGAACAGCTTACAGTGAATTCACCAGGTCATAGTGAACAGCTAACAGTGACACAACACCAGGTCATAGTAAACAGCTAACAGTGACATATCACCAGGTCATAGTGAACAGCTAACAGTGATACATCACAAGGTCATAGTGAACAGCTAACAGTGACACATCACCAGGTCATAGTGAACAGCTAACAGGGACACATCACAAGGTCATAGTGAACAGCTTACAGTGAATTCACAAGGTCATAGTGAACAGCTAACAGTGACACATCACCAGGTCATAGTAAACAGCTAACAGTGACACATCACATGGTCATAGTGAACAGCTAACAGTGACACATCACAAGGTCATAGTGAACATCTAACAGTGACACATCACCAGATCATAGTGAACAGCTAACAGTGACACATCACAAGGTCATAGTGAACAGCTAAGCGTGACACATCACAAGGTCATAGTGACCAGCTAACAGTGACTCATCACAAGGTCATAGTGAACAGCTAACAGCGACACATCACAAGGTCATAGTGAACATCTAACAGTGACACTTCACCAGATCATAGTGAACAGCTAACAGTAACACATCACAAGGTCATAGTAAACAGCTAACAGTGACACATCACCAGGTCATAGTAAACAGCTAACAGTGACAAACCACAATGTCATAGCGCACAGCTAACAGTGACACATCACAAGGTCATAATGAACAGCTTACATTGACACATCACAAGGTCATAGTGACAAGCTAACAGTGACACATCACAAGGTCATAATGAACAGCTTACATTGACACATCACAAGGTCATAGTGACCAGCTAACAGTGACTCATCACAAGGTCATAGTGAACAGCTCACAGTGACACATCACCAGGTCATAGTAAACAGCTAACAGTGACACATCACATGGTGATAGTGAACAGCTAACAGTGATACATCACAAGGTCATAGTTACCAGCTAACAGTGACACATCACAAGGCCATAGTCAACAGCTAACAGTGACACATAACAAGGTCATAGTCAACAGCTAACAAACATCTAACAGTGACACATCACCAGGTCATAGTAAACAGCTAACAGTGACACATCACCAGGTCATAGTAAACAGCTAACAGTGACACATCACATGGTGATAGTGAACAGCTAACAGTGATACATCACAAGGTCATAGTGACCAGCTAACAGTGACTCATCACAAGGTCATAGTGAACAGCTAGCAGTGACACATCACAAGGTCATAGTAAACAGCTAACAGTGACAAACCACAAGGTCATAGTGAACAGCTACCAGTGACACATCACAAGGTCATAATGAACAGCTAACAGTGATACATCACAAGGTCATAGTGACCAGCTAACAGTGACTCATCACAAGGTCATAGTGAACAGCTAAGCGTGACACATCACAAGGTCATAGTGAACATCTAACAGTGACTCATCACCAGATCATAGTGAACAGCTAACAGTAACACATCACAAGGTCATAGTAAACAGCTAACAGTGACAAACCACAATGTCATAGTGAACAGCTAACAGTGACGCATCACAAGGTCATAGTCAACAGCTTCATCAGGTCATAGTGAACAGCTAACAGTGAAACATCACAAGGTCATAGTGAACAGCTACCAGTGACACATCACAAGGTCATAATGAACAGCTTACAGTGATACATCACAAGGTCATAGTGACCAGCTACCAGTGACACATCACAAGGTCATAATGAACATCTAACAGTGACACATCACAAGGTCATAATGAACAGCTTACATTGACACATCACAAGGTCATAGTGACCAGCTACCAGTGACACATCACAAGGTCATAGTCAACATCTAACAGTGACACATCACAAGGTCATAATGAACAGCTTACATTGACACATCACAAGGTCATAGTGACCAGCTACCAGTGACACATCACAAGGTCATAGTCAACATCTAACAGTGACACATCACAAGGTCATAGTCAACAGCTAACAGTGAATTCACCAGGTCATAGTCAACAGCTAACAGTCACTTCAAAAGGTCATAGTCAACAGCTAATTGTTACCTCTCACGGTCATAGTCAACAACAGTCACTTCTCAAGGTCATAGTGAACAGCTGACAGTTACTATGCAAGGTCATTGTCAACAGCTAACAGTGAACTCACCAGGGCATAGTAAACATTCACTTCACAAGGTCAATGTCAACAGCTAACATTCACTACTTAAGGTCATAGTCAACAGCTAACAGTCACTTCTCAAGGTCATAGTCAACAGCTTGCAGTCACTTCTCAATGTCATAGTCAACAGCTAACAGTCACTTCTCAAGGTCATAGTGAACAGCTAACAGTGATACATCACAAGGTCATGGTGAACAGCTAACAGTGTCACTGTTAGCTGTTTACTATGACATTGAGAAGTGACTGTAAGCTGTTCAGGGAGGTAGCAGCCATAGTTGTAGATGTGTCTGTCAAAGGGAGGTAGCAGCCATAGTTGTAGATGTGTCTGCAGACACATCTACAACTATGGCTGCTACCTCCCTGTGACTGTAGACACATCTACAACTATGGCTGCTACCTCCCTGTGACTGTAGACACATCTACAACTATGGCTGCTACCTCCCTGTGACTGTAGACACATCTACAACTATGGCTGCTACCTCCCTGTGACTGTAGACACATCTACAACTATGGCTGCTACCTCCCTGTGACTGTAGACACATCTACAACTATGGCTGCTACCTCCCTGTGACTGACACATCTACAACTATGGCTGCTACCTCCCTTTGACAGACACATCTACAACTATGGCTGCTACCTCCCTGTGACTGTAGACACATCTACAACTATGGCTGCTACCTCCCTGTGACTGACACATCTACAACTATGGCTGCTACCTCCCTGTGACTGACACATCTACAACTATGGCTGCTACCTCCCTGTGACAGACACATCTACAACTATGGCTGCTACCTCCCTGTGACTGACACATCTACAACTATGGCTGCTACCTCCCTGTGACAGACACATCTATAGTAAACATTCACTTCACAAGGTCAATGTAAACAGCTAACATTCACTACTTCAGGTCATAGTCAACAGCTGGCGGTCACTTCTCAATGTCATAGCCAACCGCTAACAGTCGCTTCTCAAGGTCATAGTCAAAAGCTTACAGTCACTTCTCAATGTCCTAGTCAACAGCTAACAGTCCCTTCTCAAGCTCATAGTCAACAGCTTGCAGTCACTTCTCAAGGTCAGAGTCAACAGCTAACAGTCCCTTCTCAAGGTCATAGTCAACAGCTTACAGTCACTTCTCAATGTCATACTGAGAAGAGCTAATAGTAGCTTCAAAAGGTCGTGGTGAACAGCTACCTTTAACTTTAAAAGGTCAGAGTTTACAGCAAAGTTAACAAACTTTTGCTTTACAAGGTAACAGTGAACAGCTACCTTTGGCTTCATGAATATGTTCAAAGTTTACAGCGGACAATACTTTTACATAGTGTTTACTGAAGCAAAGCTACAACATTTAATTTCAGCACTTCACATGTTTAGTCAACATTTATTCCACAGCTGTAATTAAGAATGTGATTTTGTTCATCGAATAATCTTTTCTGAGAATTTTGATGAATAAATAAGTAAACAGAAGGATGCCTCCTGATCAGACTTGTGAAGTAACAACTCACACATCCAGTATGTGCCTCAAGCTTCCGTTCCAACTTCAGTCGCTGGACAAACTCCTTATTTCCTGCAATGATTAAAGGATACATCTACAAAACAAACAGATCATGATAAGATGCTTGTTTATTACTGTCAATTACATGATCTGCAGTCAATACAAACCTTAAACATGAAGACTAACTATGGCTGCTACCTCCCTGTGACTGCAGACACATCTATAACTATGGCTGCTACCTCCCTGTGACAGACACATCTACAACTATGGCTGCTTCCGCCCTGTGACTGCAGACACATCTACAACGATGGCTGCTACCTCCCTGTGACTGCAGGCACAACTACAACTATGACTGCTACCTCCCTGTGACTGCAGACACATCTGCTACCTCCCTGTGACTGCAGACACATCTGCTACCTCCCTGTGACTGCAGACACAACTACAACTATGGCTGCTACCTCCCTGCGACTGCAGATACGTCTTCAACTATGGCTGCTACCTCCCTGTGACTATTACATGATCTGCAGTCAATACAAACCTTAAACATGAAGACTAACTATGGCTGCTACCTCCCTGTGACTATTACATGATCTGCAGTCAATACAAACCTTAAACATGAAGACTAACTATGGCTGCTGCCTCCCTGTGACTGCAGACACATCTACAAATATGGCTGCTACCTCCCTGTGACAGACCCATCTACAACTATGGCTGCTACCTCCCCGTGACTGCAGACACATCTACAACTATGACTGCTACCTCCCTGTGACAGACACATCCACAACTATGGCTGCTACCTCCCTGTGACTGCAGACATAACTACAACTATGACTGCTACCTCCCTGTGACAGACACATCTCCAACTATGGCTGCTACCTCCCTGTGACTGCAGAAACAACTACAACTATGACTGCTACCTCCCTGGGACTGACACATCTACAACTATGGCTACTATCTCCCTGTGACTGCAGACACATCTACAAGGCTGCTACCTCCCTGTGACTGCAGACACATCTGCTACCTCCCTGTGACTGCAGACACATATACAACTATGGCTGCTTCCTCCCCCTGTCAGACACATCTACAACTATGGCTGCTAACTCCCTGTGACTGCAGACACATCTACAACGATGGCTGCTACCTCCCTGTGACTGCAGCCACATCTACAACTGTGGCTGATACCTCCCTGTGACAGACACATCTGCAACTATGGCTGCTACCTCCCTGTGACCGACACATCTACAACTATGGCTGCTTCCGCCCTGTGACTGCAGACACATCTACAACTACGGCTGCTACCTCCCTGCGACAGACACATCTACAACTATGGCTGCAATCTCCCTGTGACAGACACATCTACAACTACGGCTGCTACCTCCCTGCGACAGACACATCTACAACTATGGCTGCTACTACCCTACACATCTACAACTATGGCTGCTACCTCCCTGGGACAGACACATCTGCAACTATGGCTGCTACCTCCCTGTGACCGACAAATCTACAACTATGGCTGCTACCTCCCTGTAACTGTAGACACATCTCCAACTATGGCTGCTACCTCCCTGTGACCGCAGACACATCTACAACTATGGCTGATACCTCCCTGTGACAGACACATCTGCAACTATGGCTGCTACCTCCCTGTGACTATTACATGATCTGCAGTCAATACAAACCTTAAACATGAAGACTAACTATGGCTGCTACCTCCCTGTGACAGAAACATCTACAACTATGGCTGCTACCTCCCACTACGGCTGCTACCTCCCTGTGACAGACACATCCACAACTATGGCTGCTACCTCCCTGTGACCGACAAATCTACAACTATGGCTGCTACCTCCCTGGGACAGACACATCTGCAACTATGGCTGCTACCTCCCTGTGACAGAAACATCTACAACTATGGCTGCTACCTCCCTGGGACAGACACTTCTACAACTATGGCTGCTACCTCCCTGGGACTGCAGACACAACTACAACTATGACTGCTAACTCCCTGTGACTGACACATCTACAACTATGGCTACTACCTCCCTGTGACAGAAACATCTACAACTATGGCTGCTACCTCCCCGTGACTGCAGACACATCTACAACTATGACTGCTACCTCCCTGTGACTGCAGACACAACTACAACTATGGCTGCTACCCCCCTGTGACAGACACTTCTACAACTATGGCTGCTAACTCCCTGTGACTGCAGACACATCTACAAATATGGCTGCTACCTCCCTGTGACTGCAGACACAACTACAACTATGGCTGCTACCTCCCTGTAACTGCAGACACAACTACAACTATGACTGCTACTTCCCTGTGACTGACACATCTACAACTATGGCTACTATCTCCCTGTGACTGCAGACACATCTACAAATATGGCTGCTACCTCCCTGTGACTGCCGAAACATCTACAACTATGGCTGCTTCCTCCCTGTGACAGACCCATCTACAACTATGGCTGCTACCTCCCTGCTACAGACACATCTACAACTATGGCTGCTGCCTCCCTGTGACAGACACATCTACAACGAGGGCTGCTACCTCCCTGTGACTGCAGACATAACTACAACTATGACTGCTACCTCCCTGTGACTGCAGACACATCTTCAACTATGGCTGCTACCTCCCTGTGACCGACAAATCTACAACTATGGCTGCTACCTCCCTGGGACAGACACTTCTACAACTATGGCTGCTACCTCCCTGTAACTGTAGACACATCTCCAACTATGGCTGCTACCTCCCTGTGACCGACAAATCTACAACTATGGCTGCTACCTCCCTGGGACTGCAGACACATCTACAACTATGGCTCCTCCCCCCCTGTGACTGCAGACACATCTACAACTACGGCTGCTACCTCCCTGTGACTGCAGACACAACTACAACTATGGCTGCTACCTCCCTGTGGCTGCAGACCCATCTACAACTATGGCTGCTACCTCCCTGGGACAGACACTTCTACAACTATGGCTGCTACCTCCCTGTGACTGCAGACACAACTACAACTATGACTGCTACCTCCCTGTGACTGACACATCTACAACTATGGCTGCTACCTCCCTGTGACAGACACATCTACAACTATGGCTGCTACCTCCCTGTGACAGACACATCTACAACTATGGCTGCTACCTCCCTGTGACTGCAGACACATCTACAACTATGGCTACTACCTCCCTGTGACAGACACATCTACAACTATGGCTGCTACCTCCCTGTGACAGACACATCTACAACTATGGCTGCAATCTCCCTGTGACAGACACATCTACAACTATGGCTGCTACCTCCCTGTGACTGACACATCTACAACTATGGCTGCTAACTCCCTGTGACTGCAGACACATCTACAACGATGGCTGCTACCTCCCTGTGACTGCAGACACAACTACAACTATGACTGCTACTTCCCTGTGACTGACACATCTACAACTATGGCTACTATCTCCCTGTGACTGCAGACACATCTACAATTATGGCTGCTACCTCCCTGTGACTGCAGACCCATCTACAACTATGACTGCTACCTCCCTGGGACTGACACATCTACAACTATGGCTACTATCTCCCTGTGACTGCAGACACATCTACAATTATGGCTGCTACCTCCCTGTGACTGTAGACACATCTACAAATATGGCTGCTCCCTCCCTGTGACTGCAGACACATCTACAATTATGGCTGCTACCTCCCTGTGACTGTAGACACAACTACAACTATGGCTGCTACCTCCCTCGGACTGCAGACACATCTACAACTATGACTACTACCTCCCTGTGACAGACACATCTCCAACTATGGCTGCTACCTCCCTGTGACAGCCACTTCTACAACTATGGCTGCTACCTCCCACTACGGCTGCTACCTCCCTGTGACTGCAGACCCTTCTACAAATATGGCTGCTACCTCCCTGTGACTGAAGACACATCTACAACTATGGCTGCTCCCTCCCTGTGACAGACACTTCTACAACTATGGCTGCTACCTCCCCTTGACTGCAGACACATCTACAACTATGACTACTACCTCCCTGTGACAGACACATCTCCAACTATGGCTGCTACCTCCCTGTGACAGCCACATCTACAACCATGGCTGCTACCTCCCTGTGACAGACAAATCTACAACTATGGCTGCTACCTCCCACTACGGCTGCTACCTCCCTGTGACTGCAGACCCTTCTACAAATATGGCTGCTACCTCCCTGTGACAGCCACATCTACAACCATGGCTGCTACCTCCCTGTGACAGACACTTCTACAACTATGGCTGCTACCTCCCTGGGACTGTAGACACAACTACAACTATGGCTGCTACCTCCCTTTGACTGCAGACACCTCTACAACTATGGCTGCTACCTCCCTTTGACTGCAGACACCTCTACAACTATGGCTGCTACCTCCCTGGGACTGCAGACACATCTACAACTATGACTACTACCTCCCTGTGACAGACACATCTACTATGGCTGCTACCTCCCTGTGGCAGACACAACTACAACTATGGCTGCTACCTCCCTGTCACTGCAGACACATCTACAACTATGGCTGCTACCTCCCGTGACAGACACATCTACTTTCCAGAATCTCACACACAAAAATAGGACAATGTCCATTTATCTTTTCTAAACGTAGACTTAATAAATGATGACAAGTGTGAAGATACACATGGCAGAATGCAAAACAAAGCACTGGTAATTTATTATGGCTACCAGATACTGCTAATTCAAATGTAATTATTTTCTGGTCAATGTTTTTCAACAGTTATTGCATTCTTTCCTCATTACACTACTATGAATTCTAACAGCAATGCATCATCTGAATACAAAAATCACACTAGGATGCCATTGCTGATTATTCTTTTCATTTTTTTAAATGGCAACGCTCTATACCACATATGACAATATTGTGTACAGGGTAGATCTACATCTACTGCCTAATTGTGTGGTGTTTGAAATCCGACTGTAAATTGAGATAAAAATCATATAAAAAATAAGGGTACATGTACTACTATATATAAAAAAGTAGTAATACCCTTATTTTTTATATGATTTTTATCTAAATTTACAGTCAGAATTTTAAACACCTTTGTGCAAAACATGAAAATATATATCTTTTTTGCTTTTCCTAATTAATATCAAGAACGTATTTTCATTGTCAAATGCAGTTTGCAGCTAGCAACATAATACAGTATCTGGTTGTCTCAGCCTTTCTCAAATACATAGCACATTAGTAGTTCTTTATCGGTTTATATAAACGCATCGGCACCTGTTCAAATTACTAAACATCGTATAACTGTTGTCATTTACTAGTATAATACACGCTTCAAATAATTTTCTTGATAGCTAAAAGCACACAGTTGAAATGATGATTCCGTGAATAAAACGGAAGGTCATCAATGTGCAGATGTTGCATCGGCTACAAAACCATGTCTGGTGCAACAGAAAACAACAAACGCAGTAGAACCTAATTTTGATAATTCTGCTGAAAAGCATATTACCTTTGGCAGCATTATATAGTTTGGATTTCTCTCCGAAACCATAAGACCGAAGTTGCACTGACTGAAACATTGCGTTTCTGTGCAGGGCAGTAAGATTTGCCCTATCGAAACTGTCGGTTTGTTTACAATTTCTTGCTGTCAGCCATGTTTCTTTCAAGGGAGAATACTGCATCGAAACTTCCGGTTAAATTGGTCCAAGTTCTGTTGGTTACAAATTAAACTTTTTATTCTTTTAAAAAAGCCAATTAAACCGGATGACGAATTTATTCACTCGTGTATAGTATGGCAAATATATTTGTAATGGGCTTAATAAGACGGTACGAGATGGGTCGGGTTGGTATTATCCAGAGTGTAGCTTGTCAAAGCTATTTAACTCTCCAGAAGTCTTTTGACTCAATTTTGATGGATTACATTCTGTAGAAATTTATACAAGTCATACCTCTTTTTATTTCTTAAAACATTGCAGATGTCATATTATTAAGTGTTATATAGACCATTATTATATCAAGTAAATCGTTAAAATCTCATTATATATAAATACTTCCTTAGAGAAGCAAAGATATTTACAAAGAAAAAGCTTTGTGACAATTAATGAGCCTCAGCTTTCAAATTAGATCTAGGTGGCATATTATTCATCATGGAATAAACCACAGGAGTCTGACGTTAAATCAATATAAGTATAACAGTCTATATATAAATAAATACCCCGTATACTATTATAGTATACAGTGTATTTATTTATATATAGACTAGCTGTTATACTTATATTGATTAAACGTCAGACTGCTGTGAATAAACATACAGAAGTAGGGTACTAAATACCTGTACTTCACACTCCAATACAAAAAATGTATATGTTTATTATAAAACTAAACTGTGATCAAGAGCAAAGGTCATCATTTTATTTGGATAAATAAGCTCAACAAAATCAAATAAATAAAGTCAAATATCAATGAAACATAATATAACTTCTTAATAGCGAGTTAGTGTCTGTCTTTCCTCATGTCACAGTACCACGCGAGTTAGTGTCTGTCTTTCCTCATGTCACAGTACCATGCGAGTTAGTGTCTGTCTTCCCTCATGTCACAGTACCATGCGAGTTAGTGTCTGTCTTCCCTCATGTCACAGTACCATGCGAGTTAGTGTCTGTCTTCCCTCATGTCACAGTACCATGCGAGTTAGTGTCTGTCTTCCCTCATGTCACAGTACCATGCGAGTTAGTGTCTGTCTTCCCTCATGTCACAGTACCATGCGAGTTAGTGTCTGTCTTCCCTCATGTCACAGTACCATGCGAGTTAGTGTCTGTCTTCCCTCATGTCACAGTACCATGCGAGTTAGTGTCTGTCTTCCCTCATGTCACAGTACCATGCGAGTTAGTGTCTGTCTTCCCTCATGTCACAGTACCATGCGAGTTAGTGTCTGTCTTCCCTCATGTCACAGTACAAGATTACGTTCCTAGATACTATTTCACTGTGGTATGTTTCATCTCATTAATTTGTTTGTTTCTTGATGTATACTATCTTTCATGCCATCACGTGACCTCAGTTGTAAAAATGTTATGTATCTTATTTGGAGAAGTCATCTATAAGTTGGAAAAACTAATCCTATTGTCATATTATATGTCAATACAAGAGATTCCAGAGGGATCTTGGCGCCCACCATTGTACCATCTTCATTAGTTCTTTGTCAGTTCGATCTTTTTTCTTCTTTCCTCTTATTTATTTGATTGGGTTATGTTAACAGTAAATGCACCTTGAGGTAACTTTTGATCTAAACTTAATACTGATGTGTATGAAAGCCAACCTTCAAAGTGAGTTTGTCATATCACATATTTACTAGTACAGTACTCAATGTGAAAGAAATAGAATCGATCATTGCAATATGAGAAAGATCTGTTTGGTTCTTCCTTTAGCCATTTTGTTTTTATGATCAGTCTCAATGTATAACATGCACAACGAGGGATCAAGGGGAACCTACATATCAAATTTGAGAAAGATCCCTCAAGTTATTCCTGAGAAATAGTACTAACAAACCTTCAATGTCAAAAATCAAAGATGGCTGTCGGTAGGCCATTTTGATCAGTTTCAAAAGTAAACATGAACAATAAAGGATAGTGGGGAACCTGCATTGGCTGGCCCAAACATATTTTTGGGCGAGTAAAACATTTGAAGCACTGGCCCAAAATGTCATATTGGTGGCCCAAATAATTTTGGGAAGAAATATTTCCACAGCATTTAACACAATGCTTCAGCACATTTAAATTACATATAACATGACAATGTTCGTAATATGTAAAACAGAATAAAACATTATATTTTTGATTCTTCAACACTAGTTAAAACCTGACATGATCCACTCCATTCAGGTCTTCCCGAAAAGAAATACACAAAACTCGCACCTCAAAGAAGACACCCTGGCGGTATTTAATAGAAAATTTGAAAAAAAACCATCATATTTTCTAAATCATGGACAGTTAGATTCAAATTGAAGTTATGACAAGTGAAAAATTGTAAACCCCCCCCCCCCCCAGTTAATGTGGAAGAGACTATGATTTCTTTATTCATTAATTTGTTGACAGTCGCCCAAACTATTTTTGTGGGCCAGTGACTACCTCACTTTTGACAACTTTTGGTCACTGTGATATGGTCGCTCGAGCAAGACTTTAACCGCCATTGGCGAGCAGGCGACCGTCCATTTCAGGCACTGCTGCACAACAAAGGAACAAGGGGAACATACATATAAAATTTGAGAAAGATCCCTTTGGTACTTCCCGAGAAATAGCGAAAACAAACTTTCACTATCAAAATCCAAGATGGCTGCCTGTCGGCCATGTTGTTAATCCGATCAGTCTCAAACGTGACACTGTACAGCTAAGTACCAAAGGGAACCTACATATCAAATTTGAGAAAAATCCCGCTGGTACTTCCCGAGAAATAGCGATAACAATCTTTCACTATCAAAATCAAAGATGGCTGCCTGTCGGCCATGTTGTTTATCCGATCAGTCTCAAAAGTTGCCCTGCATAGCTAAATACCAAAGGGAACCTACATATAAAAATTGAGAAAGACCCCTTTAGTAAATCTTGAGAAATACCGATAACAAGAATTGTTTAAGGACGGACGGCGGACGGACGGCGGACGGACGACGGGTGATTTGAAAAGCCCACCATCAGATGATGGTGGGCTAAAATAAAAATATGTTTAAACTAAACTAGATACTGTATTTTTGAGGGTTGAGACTTGAGGGAGGGGGGGGGGGGTCACCAATACAATGACGTAGCATCAACAATGCATCAACGTCACGTAGTCGCTAAAGTTAAGCCTCGTGTTCGACAACTTAAGAATCCCTAATCGGGTTGATACTCTTTTTAGAATGAAGACAGAAAATCCTTATCCCAATAATTTAGGAGTAAGATTCTTAAATGACTAGCCCGAAGCATTCTCTTTTACTAGCTGGTAGGCGTTATGGCCTAAAATCAAGAAGGTATGGGTATGGAAATGCACAAATATATATACTTCACCGATATATTTGTATCACATATTCACCCATGTAATATGACCTATCAATTGTTTCAATTGTGACGTCACGCCTAGGACAAGTACATGACGTCATAGTCTTACGCACTGGAGTCAAAATGGCGGGTTTTTACATTTCAATGTTGCATGAAAAATTGTCGTTTTACACGAATAAATGCCACAAATCATGATTATGTGATAAAAATGATCCTACTCTCGTTTTCATTTCACATGAAATTTATGAAACAAGTCATGATTTTTCATTTTAGCTCACCAGAGGCTTGCTAAATTGAAAAATTCCTAAGACTCGTTTCATAAATCTAATATGAAATGGAAACTCATGCAAGATCCTTTATATATTTATGTGTAAAATCAAGGGCCTTGTGACAGTAATGAATATATATATATATATATATATTTCAATTCAGGCTTTTCAACAGAGCAAGTATATGACATATAATCCTCTTCATGTTCTGTTCACATTGTAGACATACATACGTCATCTGTACCGTACAGTGTACGCATGAACATAAGCGAACTTTTTCGCAAAAATAGCTCTCAAGAGCTAATGTTGATAGGTAGGCTTCTTGTATCTTGTCCCCTTCAGTTTATATAAAGTTGTCCTTCGTATTAATGTCATGATAAAGCAAGTTATGCTATAATCTTACAACCCTTTACAATGTTAATAACATGTATAACGTAAGGTGCAGCATGTTATGAAATGGTGCATCACATGAGGTCGTTTATCTATCTGTCACTTAGCCTTCATTTCTTATTATTAATATATAAAATGTATAACCGGGAAGTTTTACTATTACCAGGAAATTTTACTACGATTTTGTTGGTTGCCAGGGCAGCATCCATCCTGTTTTGAGGCCGGTATGGCACTCCACGGCTAGTAAAAGATAAAGGAAGCTTCGTATGTAGGCGTATGACCTCTAGGTCTATACATGTGCGTTAGATAATATGCCATTTCCTAGCATTAAGTTTTGTCGCAAACGCGATTGACATTTATAAATCTTGTGAAGTATTTTTATAAAGACAGCAGCATTTAATGCCCCATCACAATTATTGATAACGTTAACCTTGCTATATAATAATTCTAATATATAAAGTACAACTTCAACTTATCTAAATAACGTATCTGAACTTCGATGTTCAATTGGGTCCATCAGGGGTTGAAAATTAAGGTGATTGACTAAGGTTTACTATGAATTAGAATTAATTTTAAAATGAAAATTACAATAACCATATCTTTAGAGAGAATTAAATGGCTCCCGTCTATCAGTGCGATATGGAAATTTATATTATTTTTCTGCAAAGGAAAGTTCTCGAACTTAACTTTTTGTCCCCAATGGGTCAGCTCCTTCTTCACAGACTTGCTCCAGCTTCTGGATACTGAGACAATGGATTGCAAAAGCTCTCTTGGCCTTTTGGCAAGATATTTCTAGTTTTTGGTCTTGATAATTTTAGTTACCCTGGTTTCAAAAGCAAGATGTTTGTTTGTTTTGGGTGTTTTTTTGTTCTGGTAAGAGACTTCAAATTCCCCTGGTTTAAATGACATGAAATGTCTAGTTTCCCTTGTTTCACAGGTAAGGAACAAAAATTCTAATCCTTGTAGTTAGGGTGTATTTATCTCTCTTTGTCTAACAATTATATTCATGTTTGAAGGGTGAGGATATCAAATGATTCCATGTAATGAACCATCATTGCCAAGGGGTGGGGCTTGACCCTTGCCTTATACTGGTAGCATGAGTATATAGTCTCTTCATGCCTTGTAATTATGTATGGTGAGCGTCTTGACAGTTTGAGTAATATGACTTGGAAAATAAGAACCAGGTGATGCTGAATACCCCAGTGCAAATCCTTATGGAACAGTGTATTTTCTCTTAATGTCTAGCAATTATATATGGTTAGATAGGAGGACTACAGCTGTTGTCGTACATCCAGGAGAAGTTCCCAGGTGTGGTGCAGAACCCCCGGGCAAATCACGGTAGCATTGTTTTCGTCTCTTCATGCCTAGCAATTGCTAATATGGTAATAGAGTGGGGATCTTAACCGTTTCTATATTAAGACCAAAGAGTAAATACCCGGAGGCAAGACGAGAGCCCAGGACCAGTTTTGGCAGTTATCACAGCACAAGTTTATTTGTCACTTCAAGCCCAGCGACTATATATGGTTACAGGGTGGGACTCTGCATACATGTACCTGCCTCTCCAAGTCTCTGCTTACATGTACCTGCCTCTCCATGTCTCTGCATACATGTACCTGCCTCTCCATGTCTCTGCATACATGTACCTGCCTCTCCATGTCTCTGC